AACATGTGTCCTCTGTGGAAAGAGACTCTGAAAGTTTCAAGAAAGATTCTCTCCTTTTTGTCCTGATCCATTTCTATAAAATGAATCAAGATTTTGGGCCACTTTATGAGTCTCATAACGATGTTTTGGGCTTGTGGTAACCATCTAGCCATCAGCAACAATGATAACCCCCCCCCCGTTATTCGGTCCTTCTGTATATCTTTTCTTCTTTCCTAGAGCACCATTGAGTTCTTTCTTTGTAACCAAATGTCTCTCAGAGGGGCGTGGGGAGGGGCTCCTTATTTTCACCTAAAGTAACAGACAGAGAATCAGCACTTTGGAAACAGGGCTGAAACAGAGGGGATTATGGGTAATGCTGCAATGATCTGTTTGGTGTTTGGAGCCAAACACTTCAGAGACATGTTCTGTATATATCTGAGACCTATATTGATGAAAAACAGTATAATATGAGACCTTTAACAGTTTCCCTCTCCTCCCTCCTCCAGGGTCTGTCTCATACGTTGGACCAGGCCAGCGCTCAGTTCGCCGCCTCGGCTCTCGTCACCGCCGACAAACTGCTGGCTCTGAAAACCAAGGAGGACCTCGGTCCGGGAGGAGGAGCGGTGAACGGCGTCCTCTCCCCCTCAGGTACGTAAACACAACAAACCACCACAGGGAGGCTCAGTCAGTGCGCATCCTCTAGGAAAACAACAGCCGTTTATATATACTTTTTTTGTTATTAAAGTTTTTATTTATGAACGTACATAGATCACATGGTACAGCATACAGAAAGAGGAAGGGCAGGCTACAAAACATGTTAGTGAAGTGTTCCTGATATGGATACAAGGACACTATTCAGGGAACTATTGTGTCCCACTCAGCTCTGTGTGATGACTACTTCCATTCTTGATAGGATAATAAAAACATGTATATTGAATTTCAAGCCGGTGACGAGTGATATCTTTCCTAACATCCACCCACCCTCTTTTGACCCCCAGGTGTCTACAAGGGCTCTCACCTCTCGAGCACAGCGGCTCCACCTTCCTCTTCCTCCCCGACTCCCTCCCTGCTCCACCCCTCGGCCACCAGTAACAACAACGGCACCGCCCACCACCACTCCAACACCACTAACACCACTCAGGTCCTGCTGGGAAACAACAGCCTCCGTCTGGGGGTTCCCACCGGAAAGCGCGTCCACGTCCCCCGGACGCTGAGCAGCACCACCACCATGTCCACATCCGCCTTAAAACTCGCAGCCGCCAACTGTCAGAAACCCAAGGTCACCGCGACCTCCGCCTCGCCGCTGGACATAGTGCCCAGGTGAGGAAAACATCCAGTTGGGGGATGAGAAGGTGAAAGTCAAGTCAATTTTATTGTCAATCTTTCAGTTTGTGTGTACAGACGGAGAGATCGAAATATGGAAATATGTGACCGGCTTTGTTTCCTGTGTTTTTAATTGCTATTTTTACGGCACTGTTAGTGTACAGTTTTATTATTACTGTGCTGTTGTGTTTATTGTATTTGTGTAACTCTGGCACAACAACTTCCTTCGGGATGAATAAAGTCCTATCTTATCTTGAATACCGTTTCCCACAATCCCGAATACAACAACAAATATGAATAAAAATATGTATATATACACAATCAACAGACACATTTATACATATGCACATATTAAGCACATCAATCAATACAAAATAACAGTCACTTCAATATCTTTGAAAAAACGACATTAGTGCAAGACTGTCCGTAGCAGCGTAAAAAGTGTGTGGTGCTGGATGTGGGTGTCTGAGTGTGTGTGGGGTGTTAAAGTCCAGGTCCAGTGGGAGTATGATGTTAAGATAAGTACTTTATTGATACCAATTTGGGAGAAAAAAACGTCTCAACTGGAAATAAAATAACATTTAAAAAAAATATGAATTACTCATGTGGAAACAAAAATGTACAGTAACAAAATATACATGTTGAAAAATACTGACAAGGCAACAAAAAATAAAACAATGTTATCCCTACATTTTTAAAGGGAAACGCATCCAACTGGTCTATTTTGGTTTATTTTTCACTGTTAAACACATTGGTATAAAACGGACCAGTTGGGTGCATTCCGCTTTACAATTTAGGGATAAAATTCCTGATTTTGTTAAATATATTGCTAATAAAAAAAAAATGACCATGATGGTTAAAAATGGGCCTGCACGATATTGGTAAAGTCTGGCATGTTTTTAAGAGGCTCCAGGAAAGGAAAAAGGCCTATATTACATAATTAAAATGCCGAAAATAATTGAATATTTGGTAGTTTTGATCAAGACTGAAGTTGATCAAAAGATTTAGGTGGGAAATAATGTTGTGGCAGTTTTTGGAATAGGATATTTTTTTAAATGAATGATTAAAAGTACATTTAAAATGTAACTCAAAAACTAATAATGAACAAAAATCAATGTTGTTGCTTATTTTTGACATATCCAAGGCTGTGAAAAATAAAAATCCCCCTTTCTCCAAATATGTAATGGTTAAAATCCTGTAAAAATATTTGGTAGTTTAATAAGGACTGAAGTTAATTTAACGATTCAACCCAAAGAAGTAGGGGGGAAATATTTAAATATGATATTTTTATCAACATTTTTGGCCTGAATTGACAATTAGGGTGGTACGTTTGAGTGATACCAGTGGGTTTTTGATGCCGCTACTCGCATCTAACTGTGTTTTTGTTGTGTTTTCAGGGAGAATCATGAACAAGAGAAGCCAGCACTGAACAGTCTGTCAGAGAACACAGTGGCCATGGAGGTCACGTAGGGGGGAGGGGGAGAGGAACCCCCATTTTCTTTTTTAGGTGCTATGCATCGTTCGTTATTGGTGGCGGAATGAGCAAGACTTGGTTTCCTCGGCAACTGTTTTGGGACTTAATTGCAATGCTCGTCTCGTACAAATCTTTTTTTCTTCCTTGCCCTCCTCCCCCCCCATTTCCCCTATTTGTTACTGTTGATAAGAGATCGTCTGTAAATTCTTAATGACAATTATATGTACAGTACTGCATATTTGTAATACCCTCCCACACACCCCCACCCCTTTGTTCTTGTATATAACATTACTTGAATACAGAATTGTTCATTTGTGATGTTTTGCACTCGAGATATAAAAAAGAAAAAATCAAAATTAAAACAAGAGAACGACAAACTGCAACTGGTGCGAGTGTGAGAGAAATGTATGTCATCATCACATGGTGCGGGACCTGCTGTTGGATCTATTTATTGTGCCGTGTTTACAAACCTTTATTTTCCCGTTCATGTTTTTTATTTTTAAATCCGTTTACCCCAAACCTCCTTTTTTTTTGTACACACTGTACCCCTCACCGGTTCCCCCCTTATCAGTGTTTAGCTAGATTAAAAAAGAAAACTTAAAAAAAAACTCTGTATCATTTTGGATGTTGTGAACATGGCCGGGGGCTCGTCTGATTTCTGTAGGACGAACTTCCACGATGTTCCCGTCATGTTGCATTCAGGCGCAGGGCCGGAGAAGGAAAACCACGACGGGTGTGATTTGTTTGTCGTAAGCATCAGTTTGTCAGTTTCCACAATGATCTTCCATACATATAATATTCCTGAGACGAGGAACAAAACAATGGGGGGGTGGGGGATGAATCTTTCCCAGAAGACTTTGCTGCTTCTGATTTATCTAAGCACTATATCATTTGTTTGTTGATTTAATGCTGCTTCTGTATGATTTCTGCCGTCTGGTTCGCACCGGATGGTTTTATTTACTTAATCTCTCAAAGATAACCCTTTTTTTATTTTTAAGAATAAATATTTTTGTATCCCCCACACATTTATTTTTTCATTATAATTCCCCTCACTTCATTATTTTGTTACTTGTTGATCAAAAAATAAATATAAGGGAGTAAAAGAAAATGCAGTAACTGACATTATCATTCCAGCTTCTACATAGAACATGATGTATGAATTGAAAATAAAAGAAAAAAAGCTGTTTTTCTCTACTTTTAGAAATTCTCCTGAAGGCTGAAAGGCCACGAACCACACCTTATCGGGTGCCTTCATTTGGAACATACAAAAAGAAATAACCGTTACAAAAAAAAATCATCGCTCTCTTCTGTGAAGAGATTGGTACTGAACAAGGCTACTTGTAGTTTCTCTTTGTCTTTACCACAATCCCAAAGCCTATTCCACTGGCCCTGTTCATTCGTGAGTTTTTGTTTGTTATTGTAGACCCTTCAACCACACACACACACACACACGGGAAAGACTAAAAATCCTCTTGAATTGTCACAAAATGAAATAAAAATCCAGGGCATTATGTGTTTGACCAGCATGTCTCGTTATTTTGTCTTCAGCGTGTTCGCAAGTAAACAAACGCAGTTTAGTTGTGTGTTTTTTTTGTTGTGAATATGTAAAAAGAAAAAACTGGTTGTGAAAAAGGGTTTTCAGTCCCATTGACTTCCATCCAATCTCCTTTTTAATGCTCCGTTTTTTTTAATTAAGAACATGAATGTGGGGTGAGAATATTTTAAATTGCAAAATAAACATATTGCAATTTATTTTCCACTTGAAATGCTCTCGGAATAAAATAAGCTCCTGAATTCAAAGAGTTAAACATTTTTAACAGTTTCGTGATCCGGTGGGGACATTTCCTAAAATAAACCCTATCATGCTTTTTGAAGTTTTCCCTTTCCTGTAGTGTGTTATTTAGGTTGTGTATATGGTATATACAAACAAAGGTAGCCTATTAAAGCCAGCCCAGCCCAGCCCAGTGGTGGGCCGGCACTTACAGATGTGGGCTGGTAGGATTTCGGCTTTTTTATTTTTAGGATTCTTTTTTTTGGCCCTCCGGCCCACACACAGCACCGGCCCACCGGGGAAACTCCCGGTATTCCCAATGGCCAGTCCGCCCCTGGATATATATATATATAAATATAAACAAAACATATTACCCGTGCGCAGCAGCTAACCTGCCTGCAAGCCTTCGCTCAGGTCATATTTACACACGGCGCGGCGGAAGCCCGCTAGCACTATTAGCACTAGCAGTATCGCTATCAGCCACATTGTTTAGGCTGTCAAATACGCTGCGCCGTTTTAGATTCAAATAGCTGTGTCCCAATTCAGCAGGAGGACCCAGCCTCGCAGCCGGACTGCGAAATGAGACGGTCTACGGAGCATGTCCTTGTACGTCACCGGCAGTTACCCCTACATTTTGCCGCCCCCGTCACCTAGCAACCAGCTGCAGTCACAAGTGCCGGTAATAATTTCTGACACTAGGCAAAATATTTTCAAACTGTTTTCAAAACTGTTCAATATGGAGTCAGATCTAGCTGTACTTATTTTTGGTGTTATATAATATGTTTAAATTATTTTCCCGAGGTCGCAACAGGCCCCCGTGAAGAGGGCTTCATTCTCCCCGCGCATCTGGATAAATTGCGGAGTCTGCTCCTTGCTCCCTATCAAAACAAAATTGTTGCAGTAAGATTTGTATAACAAAAGCAGTTAAATAAATAAATTAGCTTTATAATGAATCCCAATAATATGAAAACCAAACGGTTTAGAAATATTTTCACTTCATATTATTTTATGTATGTAATATAAAGAAGACATCTCCAATTGCCCGTATATTTAAATACACAAAGTAAATAGGTTTACTTTTCTCTCATGTCGTTTACTATTTGGGTGAGTACATTTAAAAACGAATCAAGCTGAAACCGTTGTAGCCGTTGATGGGACGTTACAAGCTTTATATATTTTTTAAAACTCATTCGTCACCGTCACCCGTTGCATCCTGGGATATGGTACACCGCGGAGTGTACATCAGATGTATCCTCTAAATCTGGGGAAAGAAGGCTGCATTTGCGTGCCGCATTCGGAGGAGTCTTGTCTTTTTTTTTAATTGGGTACAGCCTTCGTTTGGCGGAAGAGACGTATGCGGTCTCCGAATGCATCCTCAGGAGGATGCGGCCGCTGAATTGGGACACAGCTAGACTCTTTACGTCACAAACAAGATGGTGATGAGATAGATCTATAAAACCATAAGCAATGCGCCAATTCTGGCGCATTGCTTATGGTTTTATAGATCTATCTCATCACCATCTTGTTTGTGACGTAAAGAGTCTAGCTGTGTCCCAATTCAGCGGCCGCATCCTCCTGANGTAGTCTTTTCATTATATCTGAGTCAGTGTAAAAATAAAACAATACAATGTTATATCTCCATTATTTTACTCAAATTGAAATGAAAGAAAAACATTACAACGTTTGTTAAAAGGTAATCCTTCTGACATTGGATGAATGTAATTCACTTTAGCTCTCTAGCTAGTTTATTCACGCAATTTAAACCAAAGTATAGCTGCAAATTGCAATATAAGTTAGTGTGCATGTTGTCGGACGTCCACTGACTAACGTAGAGCGTTCACACAGGATCTGCTGGTCATATGATGTCCTGATGAACAGAAACACAAGCAGCCCGCTGGACTCAGATCTCTAGATACTTCATCACTCCTTCGCTGCTCCGGTACAAGTCCGGGCTGCTCGGCTGCGGTGGTTTGTGTTGTTGATACATGTCGTCTTCTTCCGTTTGCTTTAATCGAGGCTACGCAGTTATGCAGCCCCCCCTCGGCAGTAAATGGAAGTACTACAAAGAACCCCATTCAGTGCAATTATTTCACAAGTTTTGTATACACAGCTCGAAAAATATTACCGAGGTCCTGACCTCGGTGACCTCAATGGTAGATACGGCCATGAGCACAGGGATGAATCCTGTATAAAATTATTTTAAATCCACTGCTTTTTTTCCCACTTTCTAAATCCACTTCGTCTGTTTCCATCCAGCTCACTGCGTTTTCTCTCATGTCTTTACTTACTTATTTATTAGCATGTTAAACAGATAACATTGTCAGTGTAATTTTTTCCTTAAACTTAAAAGTCTAACAGCATGAGATCTGATATGAAGTAAAAAAAAAAAAAGAGTAGCTATGACTTTTATTTAATTTCCAAACTCAAAAGGCGGTCGCTGGACTTTTCTTCCACTTTTGTTTCATTTCTCAACCACTTCAATTGTTTCTAACTTTAAGCAAAAAGCATTCAACAAAGAGAGATCCAGTTTGAACAACTACCAAGACCAGAGCCACAAACAAAGTGCCGATAAAACGCTGAGTTTAAGACTACCGACCTTCCTGGTTTGCATCTTCTCTGTGCGCCGCCTGAAGGCCACGTAGGGGTCGCTGGTGCTGGAGCCGTCCCGTCTCTCCTGCTTGCAGTTTGGGATGAGGCAGTTTGCTCGGCTGGTTTTCCTCTTGCGGCTCCAGTAGTCGAAAACCTCCTTTATGAGCTCGTCGTCCTCCTTCAGCAGCAGCTTGGCCTCCGGGAGACTCACCGCCTAAAAGAAAGATGGAAGATACAAACTTGAGTTACATCTTTGATGATTAAAAGATGGATTTCCACGGGTATTGAAGTTCTCCTATTATACTGTTTTTCATCAATATATTACAGGTCTCAGATATATACAAAACATGTCTCTGAAGCGTTTGGCTCCAAACACCAAACAGATCATTGCAGCATTACCCATAATCCCCTCTGTTCAGGCCTGTTTCGCAAGAGTGGCTGATTACTCTGTCTGTGTACTTTAGATGAAAATAAGGGAGCCCTGCCCCACGCACCCTCTGAGAGATTAATTTGGGTTAAAGAAACTCAAATGTGGCTTCTAGGGAGGAGATTCAGGTGATTAAGCGGTGGGGGGGGGTACCTTTGGTGTGGATTGGCTTAATGGTACACAAGGACGACACATCGTTATGAATCATAAAGTGCCCAAAATCTGGGATCGCTCATTTTCTAGGGACAGGTTTTATATAACATGGATCAGGAACAAAAGAAGGAATACTTTTTCCTGAAACTTTCATAGATCTCGTCGCACAGAGGGGACACATGTTGATTGGTTTTAAAGACGATTAACCAATTGGATTTTGTCGTAATAGGGTTTGCCCTTTAAAGGGAGTCAATCTGATTAATGAAGTGCGGTACTTACCATAAATAGTCTACAAATTCCATACAAATGAAGCGTATTCAGTTTATTTTCTAGGGTTCATTTTGTATTCGTTCTGATTAGGGTATTTCAGGGGCATTCTCCTACAGGCGGCTGTGTTTTAAAGGGGATGCCGCTGGCACAGAACAGTGCCGGCCTGCTGTCCCACTGCCTTTCCCAGGCGGTCGATCATCTCCTTCATACTGGCCAGGACGCTGATCTCTCCCATCTTTCCTTCTTCTTCAGCTTGTTGCAAACGCGTCATTCTTCCGGTCCCAAGTCGGTAGTCGGGCTGCTCTGCGTCCAAGCTGGGAAAGCCTTGCAGAGTCGGAACAGGAAAAACACACTTTAGAAATTTGGTGATTATTTAATAGCCATATAAACATAGCGGATTTTTAAATCTATTATAAAACTTGTTTCTTACGGACTAAAATCCAGGTGAAGACGGGTTCTTGGTTGCCGCTTCTTGTAATTGAACGTTTCAT